AAACTCATAAGTCGAAATTAAACTGAAAACGCCATATGGCAAAAAAAAAACATGAGACAAAGAGTATACAAACAACAGCATAGAAAAATAAAGACTGAGCAACACGAACCCCACCAAAAAACGGCGTGATCACAGGCACTCCGGTAGGTTAAGCAGATCCTGCTCCACATGTTGCATCCGTCATTTTCTCATGTATGTACAAACCCGGTGGTAAGTCTAATTGGTAGGTCATATTCAAGGAAAAGGAGGACAGGATTGTGGTTACGACGATTGGAACACATCCTTCGTCATATGTGAACAGTATATTTCATAACGGTCAACCAACCCTTGATGGCGTCCATAACATTTTCGACGGGATGCTTTATACTTCACCACTTGGAACTCTTGGTTCAATAGCTTCCTTGTCAAGGAAATCATGATAGGAAACGCAAGCCCTGGAATACCGTATCAACTGGAAGATAAAATTGAGAATGGAAATGGGGAATATGTGAAAAAGACAACAACCCGACCAAAGAGCAGACAACAGACGAAGGCCACCAATGGGTCTTTATATACTTAATATGCAGGCGCAGCAGGAATGTTGCTACATAGAAATGGAAAATTCACAATTGAGAAGCTTACTCATCTCTTTTTTCATAAAGTTTTTTTTCAACCGACCTTCATTGTCAATTTCTAGATGTAAGTCAAGATATTAGCAGACTTACTGTATCTGTTGTATCCTTTATTTCAAGTTCGATTGGATAGATGTGTTCCACATAGTCACCAAACTTTGAATTATTTAATGGGAAGACATCATCTATATAGTGAAGTTCAAGTATAATGCTAGCTTCTTTTCATTCTTCCTAAGAAGCTCATGCATGAAGTCAGCGTCATATGAATAAAGGCCGGCAAGAAAAGAAACACAGTTGGTCCCTGGAGGATATTTGTTTTATTGACAATCATACATGTACTTCATATGGATATGTTTATATCAACAAATTACTGTATCTTATAAAAATAAGGAGATGTGGTATTATTGCCAATGAGACAAATGGAGTGGATGTAAGCAATTATGTTAACCGTGTTTGTATTTATGTCTGTATTGTTTTTGAATTCAACAATGAGATTGCGGTGCATATTCTGACAATATTTCTAAATATGTATGCCTGTTATAGTCTGTTATAGCAATTTGATCATATGACCTCGCATTTATGTTAACTTTAATGCACACGTACAGCTCTATGAACATCACACATCACTTAAACACGTGCCAGGAGCCATGATCTCTAACTAACAGCATTTTGTTGTCATCTACATTACTGCAGGCGCAGATTCATACGGAGGCGTTCCCGGCGCCCCCTCTCCCCTAAAACAGAAAAAAATGTAATGTGTCGGTAAAGTTACAGCCATTTTGGGGGAACAATATGATCGTGTAACTCTAAATTCTCAGAAGCGTTCCCACCTTTCACCACAAAAACGCCTGCACTTTGACATTGAGATATCGGCCAGCAATACAGTTGCTGTTGTTGTTCTTTATGTTTCGCCAGGAGCGTGTTGAAATTTTGTATCTCCTTTATATTTCTCTTTTAATATGAGGGATTTAAAATAGCATTAAATGTGCAGTTGTATAGGGATTATTGCTAACGCATGATTAGTTAATGTAAACTAAATTGTTTAATGGAATATCCTTAATAGTTGAATTCTGGAAAATTAAAGGCAATTAGATTGCTAAATATAAATAGCAGGAAATGGTGCAATTTAGTAAATATTCATCTTAATTCTTTAAATGGAAAAATAAATTCTTTATCTTAATTACCAAGTACCATGTATATATGTTTGATTCAAATCTGAGAACAAATCGGTTTAAAAAGTTTTTTTTTCATTGGTTAAATTGCGCTTTATTAGACTAATAATGTGTTTATGTTTCAACGGTTGATAGAAAGATAAACTCAGTCAAACGAAAATAAGGACCAAATATTGTAAATGTTGTTTCATTGACTTTATTTATTCTTTCAAATGAAACATAGAAAGAAAAGAAACATCACGTCAAATATAATGAAGAGAAATTAAGGATGTTCGCTACTCTGTTTCAAAATAACAAGCTTTTTAAAAGACTATTATAAATGGATAGTATATAAATAAAGGAACTGAAAAAGCAGAAAAAACGTAGTGTGCTTGTTTTAGAGATATAAACCATTGAAATTTGGCGGGAAATAATTCTCTCTAGACTTTTCTTACATTTAACATTGGCACCCTTTTTCTTTCAAAATTTATGAAAAAATAACAAGGATTTTATAAGATTTTCAAATATGGCTTTTTAAACTATTTGTAATAAAATTATAAAGAGAAAAGTAGGGATTAACGGGGAAAATGTTTTAATGACACTACATGGATAAAACCAGAGGATTCCGAATATCTGGCGATAATTTCAAACCCAATAGGAGCGAACATCCTTAATAGTCGAAATGCGCATCTGGTACAGTAAAATTGGTACCGTTAATGTTATTACTATACCACTGGGTCGATACCTCTGCTAGTGGACTATTAGTCCCAGAGGGTATCACGAGCCTAGTAGCTCGTACTTCGGTACTGGCATGGAAATACGGAAATAGTGTTATTGACATTTACAGTTACAACATTTTTGGAAATTATTTTTAAATTGAGGAATATTTCTCTCTCATGCTAACGTCTGATTCCTTGCCAAACTTTGGCTAAACTTTTTGTCCCTTTTGGTTTCCTCAGCTTTTCAATTTTCGAATAAGATTTGTATTAACAAAAAATGTTGACCTCGACCATCACTGAAGAGACATTTATTGTCGAAATGCGCATCTTGTGCAGTAAAAATTGGTACAGTTAATGTTATTACAGAATTAATTTTGCCAATTAATTTTTTCATTAATGATCATCACAATTTTAAAATCTATCATTTTTGTATTGCAGTCATATTTTATTGTTACTAAAACACGAAAAAAATATTGAGTCTGTAAATAATCTTTAATATTAAGTGTTTTGAATTTTCTACATTTTTGCACTCTGCTCATGGTATCACAAAAAAAAATCGTGTAAAATGTTAATCACCTCCCTGTTTAAACTAACAGATTACAATTATTCACGTTTAAATTCGATATTGATGAAACTATTAAGTACAGTTTCACAGCATAAAACAACTTATCATCTGTTATGCAATATAACTGACTGCTTAGATTAAAGTTGTTGAGATTTGCAACAATGGTGTTAAATTTGATATGACTGGAGTCATTAATTCAGCAACACCGCATCAATGGGCTGATTTATGATAACTATTAACTCAAAACTTGAAACTTATTCATTTTCTATTCATAAATCAGACACAGTTTGTGATAAAAAGAGTAATTATAGAGTCTGCTGATGTAATGTATCGATAATTAGATTTAGATTTCAAAAAAGTACATAAACACTGAAATGGAATGGTATTAAGCATGGTATCCAGAAAATGGACACATGACTGTTTTTCATCATCATTATTTTATGTATTCATTTTTTTTTGTCAACGTTGCGATAAATTAAAACTTAATAAATATTATACATCATTAAGTCAATGACAAAAAAATATCAACTTTTTGTTTGAGGCTGAGGAACTGTGAAAAGGCGAGGTTTACCGATCCCTTCAACAGTTTCGTGAAGAATACAACAATAGACACATGTATATATTATATTCCAGCTTAAAGTCTGTCTAAAACGTTTAAACACATTTTACACAGACGAACAACGATCTAGATCCACTATCAACAGCAAATATGTCTGCCGGATAAAAAGCAACAATCATTATGGCATGTATGGTGTAAAAGACAAAATGAGGTCACTTCTTTGCGATCGGCGGATATCAACAGGGTTAAATTTTGTACCGGAAAATGCGTCCTTAGCGCCTTTTTTATTTACCTCCTTCAGGAACGCTCTTTAACAACACCTATTTATTTGAAACCTCCTGGAAAAAACAAAGCAAACCTAAGCAGTTCAGAGCATTTGGATTATTATTTCGTATATTTCTAAGTAAAGAAATTAAAACACGTTAAATTTATAAGAAGTCCTCCTTCCTCTACGAGATCAGAGTAACGTGGTTTTTTCATATTGTGTCAAAAGCATATGGTATTTTTTTTTTATTTTTAAAGGGTATTACATTGATATTTGCTATATTGTGTTTGTTCAGTTGACATTCTTTTGTGTATATCTTCCTGTTACGAATTTACCGTCCATATTTAATTGAATTGATTGCTAATCATTTCACAAATTCACACTATGCAATCGGTTGCTTCAATTCAAATTCAAATCAACTGAAAGAAATACACCAAGTCCACATATAAAGGACAGAAAACTATATTTTAATACGTTTTTAAACTCGCGTGAAAAATTGTAAACATTTTTGTGTTATAAATTCTAGTATACAGTCTCTTGAATAATAATGTTTCAAATAGTATTGATTCACTTAATCTTATTCGGGGTATTACCACAAGTACAGATGGATTGTTCAGTTAGTAAATCAGCATTTGGCGTAATACTTGCCGATTGCCAAAATCAACAGTTGACTCAAATACCACAACATTTGCCGCAAGATTTAAATATCTTAGATTTATCGGAAAATTATATTGAGATCATCAATTGCAGTGCTTTATCAAAGTACAAATTATTATCGACAGTGTACATTAATAACAATAAATTACGCAGCCTCGATTTCAGTGACTTTGTATGTCTACCATTGCTCACGTGTTTGGAAGTTTCGGGGAATTCGTTAAATTTGACCGATTCGTATTCAGCTAGTATCCCTTTTCTTAACCTGACAGAATTGGACATTGGTCAAAATATGATGGAAACAGACTGTGACGAATCTGCAGAAATATCCTATAACATTCCAGTGGAACATCTAACAAAGTTACGAAGCTTAACAATAGATCTGGTATGTTTTCCTTATTTTCCGAACCAGTTTCGTGTAATGGATGAATTGACGAATATACGGTTTAAAAACTGCTTCGTCAACCATTTGACAAACGACACGTTTGGAAACCTTCCAGAAAGTATAACCGAATTTTATATGAATAATTGCAGTAATTTCTTTGTTGTCGAGATAGATGCCTTAAGACACTTCCCAAAGCTCAGTGTTCTGGACGTAAGTAAAAGCCCTATTCATTTGATTCAAGCCTTCCGAATGTTATATCCGTTCGAGAACCAAACGATGGAAATAATTAATTTCCACGACGTGACCTTTGCAAAAGTGAAAATATTTTACTATGATGTAGTACTCACCGAGGAAATGATGAAATATATAAAAACCATGTGTATTAAAACGCTAGATATATCATTCAATAACATTGTTGCATTTAGAAATAATTCATTACTGGCATTTGAACATCCGGAGTGTTTCAGGAAAATACATTTAACTGCAAATGATTTCAGCTTTTAATTAAATACTTTATAGAAGAGTTTATGGAATTCTTTAAAAGATTAACAAATCTTGAAATATATGATCATTCATATTTTGCATTAGGATACAGAAACCCGAAATTTTATAACGACACAGCCTCTAGAATTGATGAAATAATAACTCCGAATTCTAATTCAATGCCGAAAAAAGTTATTTTGTATGCACCTAAAAGTCTGAAGGAATTTAGAGCTACTCATATCATGTCAAAATTTCTTTTCGACGAAGTCGTCTTTAACGAAAGTTCTTTGGAAAATTTTGACGTTTCCGATTTTGATACGATAATTTTCCCAAAATTCACATTTATTGGTAAAAATCGGGTAAAGTCTCTTAACATATCAGGAATAAGTGCCCACAGGACATTAGATAAGTTTCCACTTATGTCAAATTTAACAACATTAAGGATGTCAAAGGCAAAGTTATTTAGAATTTTTAATGAAAGTAGCAGTCATATTGGAATTTTTAACTGGGCACCAAATGTTGAACACTTGGATCTATCAAAAAATTTTATGTGGGTCTTAAACAAAAGATTTTTGGATGGATTGAAACATTTAAAATACTTGAATTTACAAGGTAATTTGTTTCAAACTGTTCCTGAGGTAGTAACGTCTTTGACCAATATTAATAAAATTGATTTATCGTTTAACCTTCTGCCGACGCTCGACGAAAATATGAGGGGATGGATCGACAGACAACAAAAGAAATTGGGCAAATTTGAAGTTTTTCTTGTTTTAAATCCCTTTCTTTGCCACTGTGAAACAGTGTCATTTCTGTATTGGATACGTTCTACGAACGCCAATTTAGATTGCGATGGAAATTACACGTGCAGGTTAGATGCGAATCATGTAAGCCACACGTTAAATGTATATGAGAAAATTCACGATTTTTATTCGGATTGCAACGGTATATTATGGCTAAAGTTTGGTGTGTCATTACTGACTTGCATTAGTATCTTGACTATTTTTGCGACTTTGCTGTATAACTTCCGATGGCGATTAATATTTTTTTGTCAACGAAAATTTCTCAAAATGGCTGAAAAAAGTTTGAATGTTGACTTTAAGTATGATGTATACGTTTCGTATTCAGATGACGGAGTGTCCTTTATAAAGAATTTTTTGCAGCCGAAAATTGAACAGGAATGGGGTTTAACTTTGTGCTGCGAAGATCGAGATTTTTTCATAGGGGAGTCAATTGTTGATGCACGCGCCGCTTCAATTCATGAGAGTAGGCATATAATTTTCCTCGTCACACCATCTTTTAGGGAGAACGAATGGAGCAGTTTTGAGATCGAAAGAGCTAAATATGAGAAATTCTCGAGGGATTTACAAAAAATTATAGTAATTGCGAAAGGCATCGCTACAAAAGATATGCCCATCGAATTTGCTACAGTATGGAAAGACGTTAGTCTAATTGAATGGCCAATCGATGTGGACGGAATTAATATGAGTTGTCAGAAACTACGGCTATCTTTCTTCTATTAGAAACTTATGATTGTAACAATTTAAAATGTTTATTTTGTTCGTTAAAGTAATTTTTAAATTTTAAATAGGAAATGGTGAAATATTTCTTTGGGAAACCAGATATTTTAAAGAAGTTGTTCCATTCACTTCCTCGACACCCGGAAGTATGTTTTCGAATACATTATTACATTTATATTATATATTAGTTATCTTTAATTTTGTATAATATTATAGAGATTACAATCATTGTTTATGTTTGCCTTTTACAATGCTGATTATAATATCAATTCAATGGTTGATACGGAAGAATTACTGTAAAGCCATGAAGGAAATTGCTATCCATTTATAAACCCGAATTGTTGACAGGTGTATAGAAATAAGGTCATCACTTGACTTCCCCGTTCGGACGTGAAACCCTTGCCAAAGTGGGTACGGGATGTATAAATACACAGCCACGTCTGGTCATAATAGGAACGTAATCATATTACATGTAATTTTAAAAAATAACCTTTGCAAAATCTTTTTTGGGGAAACTTAGATGGCCTGTTGTAAGGGAACGACCATTTAACTGCAAGAAAGGGGGGGGGGGGGGAGTTATGGTTTGTTCCTAAAAAATATTCTGATCCCCAATTTGATGAAAAAAAATAAAGTGGGGTCGAGCAGATGACAAAAAAAAATATTTTGAATCCAGATTTCTCCCATATGCACCAGTGTTAAATTTTGAAAAAAAATAATTTGATTGAAAAACTAAGAAAAAATGTTCGCGTTTTGTGCGAAAAAAAATTTATGATTCAGACAAAAAACCTTAACCCCCCTTTTTAAAGTTAAATGGTTGCTCCCTAAAGCAAGATGTGTGCCCAAATCAAATGTAATATTGTTTTTAAGTGACATACCCATCTTTCTACCTATCGACTTAACTGTTGTATTAGTTATTAATTTGTTTTCATCCTTAACATGAATGAAATATTTGCCACTGAACGTTAAACAAGCAATATATACTATCTCGTAAATATACATTGTAGACCGAACTTTGTGTTGATAACATTTCCTTTATTAGAAAAAAAAGACATTTGAACTAAGATGAAGTTTTATTACATTTAAGAACTGCATAAAACGAACCACCAAAATCACGCTGGATTGATGTGTGATTATAGCTCCTCATGTTATTGACTTTTTGTCACATATTCTGAATCATCTGGTTTTATCCATCATTGTTCACGTAGTGCCATTAAAATGTCATCCACTAACATCTCCTTTCTTTTAATAATATAATAACATATGTTTTAAATAGTCATATTTTAAAATCTTATGAAATCATGGTTATTGTTATGGTCATTTTAAATGTATGAAAAATCTGGAGAGAATTATTTCCCGCCAAATTTCCAATCATTATGGCTTATATCTTGAAAACAAGGATAAGGACCCTTCATTTTTTCTGCTTTTTTAGTTCGTTATATTATATCCTATCAATTTATAACAGTCTTTCAAAACGCGTTATTTTGAAACTAAGTAGCTAACATCCTTAACGTTTAGTGGCAAATTAAATGCACATTCAGAACGAAAACAGGGTGAAAACTTTTGAAGACTGAATTAAACATAATCGTTTATTCTCTGTCACAAGAGGGTATGGATTTGAGGGGGGTGGGGGGTCTTTCATTTTTTTTCTGTATTCTTCAATTTTTTAGACAATTTTTCTCTATTGTTTGTATTTCTTGCTCATTATTCTCCATTCTTTATATTTTAGCGCCCCATATTCTCTATTCTTTATGTTTTTGATCCATTTTTCTCCATTCTTTATATTTTTAGCCCATTATTCTCTATTCTGTAAACCCCCTATCCAAACCCTCTCATAACACTAGCCTCGTGGTATTCTGAAATCAAGATTACTTAATGGTAGAATTTGTTTAGTTTTATTTTTTGAAAATTTCATCAAAATTTAACTTTTGTCCAAAATGTAACGTGAACACTTGATTCACTCCTGTACGATGGACAGTCGTCTTGCATTAGAAATAACATTGCGTAGTACATTGTAGGTAAAAAATTCATTTCGCTTTAGCAAGGCCAAATATAAAATTTAGATTGTTTAATGTTGCATCTTGTACTAATAACGAATTGTTGGTTAAACTCTTTTGTGTATCCTCTGTTTATTATTGATACTAATTATAAACTAACCAATAAGGATACAATAATTCATATTGATGTATGTTAACAACGTACATGTAATTGTAACTATTACAATGAGCATACAAATAGATGTAAGGAAATAAAAAAAGAATCGTACCAAAAGCAAATATGGTCAGTTTAAGTTTAATTTAAAAACATATTTATTCATAATAGTAGATTGGGAAACAAGTTATTACATTTGGTTAATGAGGTCAGATAATTTTGTTATACGAGTCATCCTGACTCCCGGAATGACAAATGTAAAACAATTTAAATAATAAAACTAACGGCCTAATTTATGTACAAAAAATGAACGAAAAACAAATAATTTATGTAACACATCAACAAAAGAAGATCACTGAATTACAGGCTCCTGACTTGGAACAGGCACATTCATGCAGAATATGGCGGGGTTAAACATGTTGTCTTGATTAAAAATCTGAAACAAGACCGGCAAAATAGCAAAACTCTATATAAATCGCTATTTTCCCGAAGCCTTATATTTAAGACAAAGAGTTCTTAAAACTTATAACTCAATTCTAGCCGTAGAACTCAATTCTAGCCGTAGAATTTATAAATCAATTCTAGCCGTAGAATTTATAAATCAATTCTAGCTGTAGAATTTATAAATCAATTCTAGTCGTAGAATATATAAATCAATTCTAACCGTAGAACTGTTCTAGTCGTAGAACTGTTCTAGAAGTAGAACTGACCAAAGATTTGGTCAGTTCTAGGTAGAACTGTCTAAAACTGTTCTAGGGTAGAACTGTCAGGATCAGTTCTAGGTAGAACTGTCCAAATCAGTTCTAGGTAGAACTGACCAAATCAGTTCTAGGTTAGAACTGTTCTAGCTAGAACTGTCTAAAAGGTGTCAGGCTGACAGTTCTACATACTGTCCTAGAACAGTTCTCCTGACAGATTCTGACAGATTTAATGAGAGGTTAGAAGCGATCTCCACTGTATGTTTTATTGTATCCCGGATGTTCACAATGCATTAGTATGTTATATAACAGTATCAGTATTTGTCAATTGTGTCTTCCACATACAGTTTGTTTGCTATATAAATGTCTTAAACAAAGAATGTGGAAATTTTGAACAGCTTTATGACCCCACTGTGACATCAATCACTTCTAGCATTTCTATACTAAAGTATCCAGTCAATTATACCATCTTATTCATCTATGTATTAAACTGATTAATAACAGCATTTTGTAAAGGTTGATTAATTCCGTTTTCTGATATTTCAGCAACCAGAAAATTTTTCTTACCATTACTCCTCTTTTTACATCCTCGACATTACAGTTTTAGGTAAGAGCGTTCCCGATAAACGCTGAAAAGTGCTTCGGACGCACCATATTTCATTTTCGAACATGGGGTGGATACCGTTGGCGGTGGACACCCAGTCCTCAAGGGTATTATCAGTTCAGTAATCAGTGCTTTGGTACCAACATGCCTTTAACCTGTACATGTAATTTTCTTACATTATTTGTTTTTAAAATTTTCAATTATGAAGGAACTAAGGTTACTCCCTCATGCAATGTTGACCTTTGATGTGTTATGCTGCTGTTCTGTCTTGGTTCCTTTTTTGTCTGATAGGTCCTCAAGTATGTATATACAATATTAGGTCAATGCCAGAAAAAATATAAACTTTTTTGTATGAGGCTGAGAAACTGGGGAAAAGCGAGTTTTGACCTACCCCTTCCCCAGTTTTGTGCCGAATACAAAAAAGTTTATATTTTTCTGACATTGGACTTGAATTTGTTTTTATACTGCAACTTGAATTAATACATTGATACATGTAGCTATTTACATTGTAACACAAATTTCAAACTTATCTTCATCCCTAAATGAACCCCTGATTGCGGAAAAGTGACCCATGGTGAAATTGACATTGCACAAATATAGCTTTGTTACTATGTTTAGGAAATAAACACAGCTAGTTGCAGTATAAACGTAAATAATTACATTAGATGTATGTTTCATTATAATACGTTATTCTGATTGGCTACACTGCAATCTCGCGTTATTCCTTAATCAACTTCATTACACAATAAAATTTATCATCAATGATGACACGAGGTCCCACAATAAAGTGTACAGGTAAATTAAATAAAAACATGATAAAAATCGTGATTTCATGAGCCTAGCTAAAAAAATGTAATTATAAGTATTGAATGTTTCTTTTTGTAACTTCATAGGGTTGTAAAAGCGTTGACCGCGTGCGCACATTTTTAGAATGAAGCGCGAGAAGCGCTTCATACAAAATGTACTTCGGTCAACGCTTTTACAACCCAATGAAGTTACAAAAAGAAGCATTCAATTCTTAATTATATATCCTTGGCTTTTAACTTTTCGGGCTTTTAATGTTTCAAATGGAGATAAATCCAGAAAAGCGATTCGGCTCAACTTGATAAAGTGTTAATTTCGTTTTCACATTACATTTCAAGTAATATACTATTATAATTGAAACTAAACTACGATGAAAGACATCACTGAGTACGATTAAAACTCTTATGAGTGTATTATAATTCAACTTAGTGTATGTAATGAAATGTTTACAAGAAATGCTCTTGGAAAAAACCTACAAAGTTCTTTTTGTATATATAATTTACAAAATTGGGAAATTCAATTCTGTATGCTTTTAATGTTTTAAGTCATTTTCTCTATTCTTTAGAAATTTAGCCTGTTATTCTCTTTTTTTTTAATTCTATCTTGCCCCTACTCCTTTTTTTTTTACCCATTTTTCTGTAGTATTTGCCCATTATTATCTATTCTGTAAACACCATCCACACTCTTATGCATGCCCTTTAATTTTTAGAGAATTTAACTGCAACTAATGTAAAGATGTTCTTACAAAGATGTCCCGATTAAACATTATAATTTACCAATAAATTACATTACGTACGTCCGATGATGTACACATTAAAGTATTTGAAATGGGTTAAAATATTTAGTTGATTGAAATACTTCGGATGTTTTACTTAAGGAGTAGATTACCGTAGCTGTATTGATCAAAACTCTTCGGCTTTTTGAGTCCTTTTTGAAACCTTTCAA